CAACATGTACACCCTTGGTTTCCGGATGAAAACATAGTTTGCAGTTTGCCCCAACACCAACATCCACCCCAGACTGGCCAGAGCTCAGCAGCATAATTAAATGTGTTTCTCCGCTTTGAGATTTTCTGATTCATGCTGCAAGCTTGCTGTTCTCCGGGTTGCAAATAGGGACACTGTCTTGGCGCAGAGCTTATTTATTGTTATATAATTTGATTGAAATTTGCCATGCAGTTTGCAATATCTTCCCAAGCCAGGTTTGCCAACCAAGATAATCCACAAGCACACTATGAAGGCACTGGTCCAGAAATCATGAGACAGACGGCGGGGCAGATCACGCATTTTGTGAGCTCTATGGGAACAACGGGAACATCCATGGGATGCAGCCGCTACTTCAAGGAGGTGAAGCCAGAGGCAGGAATTGCGGTGCCTTCGTGAAATGCCGACGTAGCCATTTGGCAAGGTATTGTTTTGTGTTTGCCTTCTATGTGTGTTTTTTGAGAGGGAGAGAGGGAGGGGGGTTCGTTTAGATTTCTCAGCAGGTTTGCTATCCACAGCTGGGTGCATCTCACCCTCCAGCATATGTTGGCATATGGGAGTGTCCAATGCAAGATCGAAGCATGGTCATGGGAAGGGCATCCGCCCAGTAGGTGGACATACTGTGTCAAATAAATATGAATATTTGGGGGTTGGGATGTGAAAAAAGATGAAAAAAGGCTCACATAGCAAATGGCAAACTGCAGTTTCACGTATGTTTCTATATCTGTGGAAAGCCCAAAGTTGCGCTGTTTCAGAGCCTTGGGCCTTGACCCTCGAAAGAAACACACGGCGACTGCAGCAGAATGCACAGATTTGAAATACAAGAAATGCCGAGATAAATGGGCCGTGCTGGTGGCGAATTGAAATGTCCAAGTGCACACTCGTGAATATCTAAATGTGTTGTAGCTTTGTTTTCTAGTGGACCAAGCATGCCACAGACAAGTGATGCTCAAATGATTGCATGAGTTTGCCTGTGGTCGCTGGCCACCAGCTTTTTCCACAGGCATACCTCTAGCGACTGTAGCAGCAGAGTTCACAAGTTACGGGCCCGAATTGATGGATGGTAATCAAGAACGCAAATGTTGTATGAATTTGGCAGAATGGGTTCGCACAGGCTTCACACAGCCTGCGAGACATTTGTGGTTGAGGGCAGAATAATTCAATAGTCAATAGTATGTTGGATCGCCCATCGGAACGCATTTGCTTGCGGAACACATGTCACATTCGCTTCCACAAAGAGTGTAGTTTTATCTACACAGCGCACGAAGGCCTTCTTTGTGTTGCACTGCGTAGCTGGCGTAGCTTGCCAGGTTGAGATAGTGGGGCTGCAGCCAGCTGAAGGTGCACAAATTCCTGGCATTCGTCGGTGGCCAAAGGACGCTGGGTAGTCTTTGGCAAAATGTTTGGCTTTGGGAAAATCACGCGATTGCCATACAGAAACTGCGTTTCACAGTTGAAATCCACACTTCTGAGATCTTCTGAGAAATTAAGAGGGAACGGATCCTACGCTGGCAGGTGATAATTTCGATGCTGCTTTGTGGTGATTTGAGATTTGGTTGGCAGCCTGCAAACCCTACACGTTAGATATGATGATAAAGACAAGATCGAGGAATCATGAGAAATCACTTGAAATGATACAGCAACCGATTGCAGCCAATCGCTGCAAATTCAACAGAATCAAGATCACCATGCACCGCAGAATCAAGATCTTTGGAAGTGCCCGAAGAGAGCGATATATGCAGCTTAAATATGCTCAAATGCTTTGTTTGGCAAGGTCCACTAACCCATCCAAACAACTCCAAAAGTAGAAAACCTTCAGCTGCCCCTTCAAGGAATATTTGCCAAGCATTTTCGACGAGGCTCGGCTTGACCGCGTAGTCGACATTTCACAAGAAGAAGCAGATGAGACTGCCCGCCAGCTGGCCATACAGGAAGGAATCTTTGCTGGCATGAGCAGTGGAGGTGCAGTGTCAGCATCCTTGAAAATTGCTGCTGAAGCACCGGGCAGAGTAGTTGTGTGCATTGTGTGTGATCGAGGCGACCGGTATTTGAGTACTGGCGTTTTCGATCCACCTCCTCCAGCTCACCACAGTTGCTACTACAAGAACCTGGATTTGACATTGAGTCAACATCGGAAGGCATTGCCAGAGGACATGCCACTCTTCATGCTGTTTACGGCTCCGTGGTGTCCAGATTGTACCACAACACTTCCAATTGTAAATGAGATCTTCACTGGTCAAGGTGCCGGTGCTAATTTCTCCTTACTGAGATGCATTGTGGGCAAGACAAGGGAGGAATGGAAAGACCCTCGTCATCCCTTCAGGTCAGATACGAGGTGGGGGCCCAATGGGCTCTCTGAAATTCCCACTTTGGCATGTTTGGGCACTGCATCCTCGCCTCTAGTCCAACCGAGGGTGCTTTCTGGGTTGGAGAAGATTGACAGAGAGCAAGTCCGTTTTAAGGTCGAGTCATTCCTGAAGGAACAAGGCTGATGACACCCGGACTGCGAAAAACAGGCAAAGCCGAAGAATCCTTCCAGCCTGACTGGAAAAGGATGTCCAATCCAATTTCTCGGCGAACAGATTATATATATATATATTAATACTATACTTTAAATTAGATAATAATATACTACTATATATATATATAGTTTTTTATATCCGCCGGCCCCGCCTTAGCGAATGCCCAGGCGGGGCGGCGCCTGGGATACCAAAGGTTGCAACGTGGGAGGTGCTTTGCATCATAGGCAGAGCGAGGCCAAAAAGGGAGGCAGCTTTCCCCCATTTTACTAGATTTTATTAGGTTTCGAAGCTGTCGTTTGGCACCTTTTCCTTTCCCTGAAGGAGCTTATACCTCCTTTGCGTCTGGCTCCTTAAGCTTTCTTTATTGCGTTTCGAAGCTGGAGTTTGGCACCCTTTCTTTTTCCTGAAGGAGCTCTTACCTCCTTTGCGTCTGGCTCTTCAAATTCATTTTATTGCGTTTCGAAGCTGGCGTCTGGTATATATTATGTTCTATTAGGAGCTTTTACTTCCTCTGCGTCGGTTTCTTTACGTTCTTTTTATTGTGTTTTTATTATGTTTTTGAAGGAATTTTTATTTCTTTTGCGTTTGTCCTTTAATGTTTTATATTGCGTTTCGATGCCCGAGGCCTTTTTGGGGGTTAAATTAGATGGAGGAAAATTGTGGCGTTGTTGTTTCTTTTTATTTGTTTTTCTTTTGGTCTGGAGTTTTTATTTATGTTGTTTTTTATTGATTTTAATTGTTTGATTGGATTTTGATTTTATTGTTTGATATTATTTGTTTTGAAGGAATTTGTATTTGTTCTATCGTTTGATATTTATTATTTTTGAATGAATTTTATTTATGTTTTTAATTGTTCGATATTGGTATTTGGTATGATTTATTTTTTTGGAAGGAATTTTGATTTGTTTTGATTTTGTTAAATGAAATTGTTTAATTGAATTTCGAAATTTGCATTTAAAATGCAAATATTTTATATATTTTATGCATGAAACTAGGGGTCGGTGGTATTAAAGCATTAATTGTTTAATATATTTGTTTATTATATTAGTATAAATTCTAAATAATATTGAAACGATTTATTTTAATTTATGAATGGATCGATTGAAATCGATCGTATATTTTATTTGACAAGCACAAAACAGTTGTGTATTCGTTTGTTGGTTTAAAAAATAAGGAACGATTTGCCGATTCCGATTTTTTTTTTTTTTTTTTTTTTTACATTCGAGCTTCCTTAGGTTATGAATCCAAGGATCCTTTGATCTTTGGCGGCCTTCGGTGCGGAAGATGGAGTAGGCGGCGCTAACGGTACGGTTTCGCGAAAGGAGAGATGGCCGAGAGCTAGTCCGACAGGGTATTATAGGTGGAGATCGCCGGTTGGATGCTTTGATTGAGGAGGAACTGAAAACCAAGGCGGCGAGGGCGCAATTAGTGCCTGTGAGAGCGGCTGAAGTGAAAAGGCTGGACGCGGCGGCGAATGCTGATTCTGGCCCTGGAGGCCTTCTAATGATGAAGTTCGACAGCTGTTGAATGACCCGAGAGGCTAGGCGATGGGATTTGGGCATTTGCAGGAGGCAATTCGATAATCATTTGAGGTGTTGCAATATGCTCTTCAAAGGCCTAACCCACAGCCGACCCTACTTGATCCTCTCTTTCGACCCGGCGATCATGGAGTTCATGCCGATACCGGATTTGGAGTTTATCTTGGACACGGGCTGGCGGCTGGCACGCCCTCGCGGCAAAGCGGGACGGAGATTGAGCGCATGGATGCATCGCCCTACTTGGCTGGAGTTGGATGTAATGACCTACATCCTCGCGTGCTGGAACCCTATCCTACCACACCGGTGGGACCTTTGGGGACGGTGAATCCCTTCTGGAGCGCTTCGGTTCAACAAGCGGCGAAGGGTGAAGTGCATGTTCGAGCGGCGGCAACTGCAGGTGGACCACATCCTACACCAAGTCCGGCCTTGGGAGATGTTGAATGTCTTCGTGAACGCGTTTTGAAGGAGGTTGAGGAGACCTTTGCCCGGGAGGTCAAGAAGATGACGGACGGGGGGATTCAGCTTCGTTTACCTCGGTGCCAAGCGCCTAGGCGGAAGGACGGCGTGACGCCAATGGGGAGCCTACAAAGCTCGGAGGACCACCTGACACTCCTCCCGGTTTCGCTCCTGCACATGATCCTCGAGGACGTGGAGATGGATTGAATGGTTTAGCGAACATGATCAAGCCGTTGGACTTAGTGACTGCAACACTGCCTGAGGCAATGCGCAACCTTGAACTACCCCCATTACCAGCACCTTCGGCTGAGAATGCGGCCTTGCTATTTGGAGATTGGCTGACGGTGATTACTCCATTGATGGGAGACCTCAGCACTTCGTCCAAGCAGTTTTGGGAATGGGTGCAACGGGAGGTGGAAGTCAAGTATAATGAATGGCTCCTGGCGACGCCACTGGCTCGGTTGAGAGTCAAAGTTGAAGAACAGGTGTCTCTAAGGTTTTAACGTTTGGACCAGCGTGCAAGCTCAACATTGTTGGTCGCGCTTCCGGAGCCAGTGAGAAGAGACATTGTGGCAAGTCGAAGGGTGGCTACTCAGGCGATTTTGTACAAGCTCTTCACCATCTACCAGCCTGGTGGTAATGCAGAAAGGGGTAACTTGCTGCGCAACCTGACCGAGGCGAAGTGTGGCAGCTCCATCCAGGACACGTTGAATGCCATTCGAATGTGGCGCAGGTGGCTTTGTCGAGCTGAAGAATTGCATGTGGGCATCCCGGACTCGATGGTATTGATTCAGGCCTTGTCCAAGATTGCAGAGAACCTCACCAAGCACGGGGGGAGCCAAGTGGGATTCCGCATTGCAGCTGCTCGACAAGAACTTGAAGTTGATCGAAGGCCCACCCTGACCACCACCAAGGAGTTTGCGGAATTCCTACAAGCTGAGGCGGAGGATTTGGCGTTGACTATGCCACAGCCGACCTCGACAAAGACTACAAGTCCTGCGGCGGGAAGCCAACTTGCGGGGGGAGCTCAACCTACGATCAAGGCCTTGGGGGGAGGACCGGTCGGTGGAGATGGGCAACAGAAGTCAAAACAAGCGTGCCGCTACTGGGGAAGCTCAACTGGATGCAAGGGGGGTGAATCTTGCACCTTTGCTCACTCCTGGGAGGGCATCAACAAAGCAGACCGATGTTTCCACTGGTGCGGGGAGAACCACTTCGCCAAGGATTGCCCCTATGGTCGAGAACGATCGGGGAAGGATGGGAAGCGGGCTGCCAAGTTGAAGGGAGGTGGAAAATCAGAGAAACCCGAAGAAGTGATTAAGTCTGGGACTTCATCGACGACATCGATTACACCAACGCCATTGACCTCACCGTCTTCGCCGTCCAAGGAGGATGAGAAGAAAGAAGGGGGTTCATTCGGGGGTGGAAAGGTGGAGGACCCAGCCAAGGAGCTGATTTCTGAGGCCGCTTCACTGCTGAAGTCGTTGCGGACCATGAAGAGAATCAAATTGAAGCAGGTGAGCCTTGACCAAGAGCACACGGCCAAGGATAGATTCGCTTTGTTGGATGGTGGAGCGACACACGCATTGCGAATGGCTCACCAGCATGAACGTGATGATTTGCGGCCAGTGGAGGTAGAGCTTGCCCAGGGCACCACTACGTTGTACAAGCATCCCAACCGGTGGAACCCATCATACCACTGAGTTTCCTGGTTGAGAAGGGCTTCAACATCTCGTGGAGGAAGACGGGCTGCTCGATTCGACATGCCGACCATGGTGAAGTGGCATGTGTGCTGAGGTTTGGGTGCCCTGTGATGGATCGCCAGAGCGTTCTATCAATGCTGGACAGGTTTGAGGCGGAGGAGAAGGGTGCTCATGATTTGGATCCCGAGCAGCTGGCTTGGTGGGGCACCAACTTCCCGGATGTACCACCTGAGGTACTACGCCACATGGGAGGCCAAGGACGAGAGCCGGAACAGCCTCCATGGAACAGGAGAACCAGGCGAACTCATGCCAGGGCCAAGGGGGTGATCATCAACCTCTTTTGTGGACCAAGCCCCAAGAAATGGAATGGAATTGGAGGAGACTCCTTTGTTTGGCTTCACTTGGACACTTTGCTGGGCGCACAATACAGCTTACACAACCCACAGGTTTGGGCCTACGTTTGGGGGTTAGCTTCCAAAGGAAAAGTGGCAGCGATTCTTGGAGGTCCGCCATGCCGTACTGTGTCGAGGATGCGAAATGGAGCTCCACCAGGACCAAGACGGCTTCGGGGTAGAGGAGAAGACCGATGGCACCTCCAGCACCTCCAGGACTATGAGCTCAACCTCGTGAACAGCGATTCAGCCCTCTGCTTGAAACAGATGGCACTATGGGTGCGTGCGCAGGAATGCAAACGCTGGAAACAGGATGTTTGTATGCTCCTGGAATCCCCGATGGACCCGGCGTCCTACTTGAAGGACGAGGATGAGGCGATGACAGCGCCGTCGTTCTGGAACTTCCCGGAGATCACGTCCTGGCTGAATCAAGGAGGGCTACGCCTCATACACTTCGACCAAGGATCAATGGGCCATGCCAGAAGAAAGCCGACAACGATCCTCTCAAACTTGCCAGAGCTGTATCAACTACAAGGTCTACGAGGAGATGGCCATGAATCTGAACCACTTCCGGCATCCTTGTCAAGGAGAATGGATGCATCCGAAGAATGGGCAGCTTGGGCTCCTGGCCTGGTGAAGGCGATCCAGCACTCGATGACCTGGTTTCTGTCGTCCTTGACGTTGGAGGAACAGGGGGAGTGCATACCACAAATGGCCAAATTGGACATGGATGCTTGGAGACGCCATGCACATCAAGGGCACATCCCGTTCAGATCGGACTGCCGCATTTGTGCAGAAGCGATGGGGTGTGACGCTCCGCATCGTCGAGTTGGAGGGGCATCCATTCACTTCGTCCTGTCGGTTGACAGTTGTGGCCCCTTCGAAGCAGGGAAGGACTATGGGACGGGCATGTTCTGTCGCTATGCCTTGGTTGGAACAGTGTCAGTGCCCATCCTAGGTGATCTTCCGGG